GTGGCCATTAGCTGTTCACCGTATTGGTTTACAAGCATTCAGTATGCTTTGTAAACCTGCACAGCAGCAGCCAGCTGAAAGGTGTGCGCTCCTCTGATCCCCCAACACCCTCTGCAGCTACACACCATCAGCAGAACTGTGCCACTGAGGGAATTCCGACTGTTCCCTCCCAAAAGAAAGATCCTGTGCATTCGTGAGCTGCTGTGTTTGTTTAATACTGTTGATGTAAACTATGCCTACTACAGGAAAATAAATCCACTTAGCTTGCAGGCAAATTGAATATATAAATATTTGGAGTAACACTGTCACAGAGCCAAACTGTAATTTTTTTTTTTTCCCCTTGAAATGTATCTCTTTTGGTTCCAAGACTTCAATCCACCAGGTGATTTTCCCTTTGGAATACAGGGCTGTATAAAACAAGTAGTATGCTTGGATTTTGTTGAGTTTTTTTTAGAAATTTTACTATCAAAGGATGAGTATTTAGCACCTAATTTTTAGAAATATATTGAGCAGCAACTGCCAGACTAAATGCTTGCTGGTGTGTGTATTTAAGAATCAGGTGAAATTACTTCTACTCTAAAATTAGCAGAAAGACCACATAAGTATCATACAAAATACCATATTCTATTCAGGTATCATTAATAAAGACACAGTAGTACTCTGAAGGAAATTCAGACRCAGCCACAAGCTTTTGAGACGGGCAGGAGGACACACTGGATTTCTGCCTTCCAAATCCTCACTTATTTGTGTAAATATTAGAAGTTCTGTGACATTCAGGCAGAAGGAGCAGTATCAACTGACTGTGTTGCATGGCTTAACTTGGCACCCCTCAACAATCCATCACAAACCCCAGAGCCCAGGTTTGTATCTGACAGCAACAAGTGCCCGAGGCCACTGTGCAGTGCTGGCAGGACAGGCAGGATCCTCGAGTGCAGCACTGGCACCACTGTAGCTAATGCAATTCTGCTGCTCGCTTCAACAGAGACATGGATCTGCTTAACCTACTGTGGGGAGCAAGGAAATCCTGCTGGCTCTGCTTCACAGGGCCTGCATGAGAAAACACATGCAAGTATGCACACACAACTGCTCTTCTCAGGAAGCAAATTTACCTTAAAGAATGTCTCTACATGATTAAMACAAGTAAAATCTGCTCTTGATCTAAGGACAGGTTCACCTTCTTGGCCCAAAGTCATTGTCTCCARAATAACTGTCCTTTCTGATGACTCAACTGGAAAACATCTCTATAGACAAAACTTTTACCACCTTCAATCTTTAGGTGATTTTTGGCAAAAAAATTCTAAAGTGAAAATTGTCTGTTCTCATACAGAGCTTACAATGCCAACACTGAGTAGCTACGGACTCTCAAAAGCATCCTAGATGGCACAATGAAATAGTAGGGCTAAGCAGTAAATTCCCTAAGATAAGCAGAGAAGGGGGAAAGGGATATTCCTACATGTATCGGATGCTGAACACTGACTGCAATAGCACTTAGTTCAGGGGGGTTAGTAATAAATGCACATTATCTTTTGTGGCACGGCTAAACCCAGTCGGTGACTGGGAACAAGACTGAGCAGGAGAGCTGGGACATGGGATTTTCACACCAGTGAGAGAAGCTGAATGAAGCTGATACAAAGGGCTAGAAGGGACCAGAAAAAGGCAAGGAAGGCAGCAGATTTCAAGGTGCAGTGAAAAAGCCCCACAGAATTGAAAAAGCTTCAGGCTTATGGATGGGAAATAGGAGGATCATGGACAATGCCRAAGTGGGAAGGGGCACCAGAAAAAGTAAATCAAAATCGTGAGTTATGGTGAAGAGTTTCACAGATGAAGTTGTTTAGGAATAGAAACCCTCTTCAGTCCTCTTTGTCATCTGTCTGTCCCGTGATCTCCTCAAGTCCCAACAATCACAGAACTGCCATCTTGACATCTTCATTTTAGATCCCCATTTCCCTTTCCCAAGCAAAGACAAGAAGCCCAGAGGAATTAAGGTTGAGATCTGTGGCTATTYCCAAGTAAGGAGCCCTGCTCAAAGGGGCAGCTGAACTTGGTCTTAACCAAGAGTACCACAGCAAGAAAATTCTAGCCAAACTGTAATCCTTGAAGTACTAGAGGAATAAGCAGAACTACACTTTTAGTCTTACTACAGGGAGAGAGGGGGACAGCTTTGCAGGATGACTTTGCTAGATTTGTGTTTCTCAAGTCTTGTTAATTTGTTTTGCTATTTTCACTGTATTGTTCTTATTAACTCTGATATTGATGCCATTTTAGAAACAAATGTCAAGTAGCAAGAACAAATACGAGACACTTTCTGAACAGTTTGCCGAGAGCTGCACCCTTTTGTTTAAAGGAAGTGTTCATATGGCCCCATTTGGAATCTAACAACCTACAAAATGGGGAAGGGGAGAAAGCCCAGCAACTCTCATTTACTGTTTATGCCACAGAAAAGTGAGAGGGCTTGTCCCAGAGGCTTCAACAGACACTGTGAGTCCTGAATCCACAGGCTCCACGCTGCTAGGACAAGCTATGCAACATTCCAGCCAGGTCAATTATCAGCRCTGCTCTCTGTGGTGCATCTACAAAATCACCTCTGACACAGCAGCGAGCTCTGCCTGCTGTCCCAATCTCACCTGAACCCTGGTGTACCTTTCCTACCATCAAAGCACTGTGAAAATCCTGCATGGAGACATCCTGCAGTTCTCTGTTTGAAGGAACTTTCCCGGGTGCCCAGGGCTCAAACAGCAAAACAGCAAAACTATTCTCAAAAAATTCATAGCAGAGCTCCCTTTATGCTCAAACCATCGACCCTTCCTTGTTACTTTCTCAACAGGAATTACAAGTTCCAGTGTTGTGATCCAAAGCACATTCCTTTATATCAGCAAGAGGGACTTGGGTRTGTTTATTGGCAAATACCTCTTTAATTGTAAGTGTGCTTTGGCAATAGGAAACAAAAATCCTACTCCATTTACACATTAAACCAAGGGAAAAACAAAACAAACCAAATGCAACCCTGGGACTTTTCTTGTGTATTTTCAGCCAGTCAGCAGAGAAATTAGGATATTTCCACTAAAATATCATTAAAACTGTTATAGCAGATCAGGCAATTTTTTGATATTTACTTCTACAGAAGACAGAGTAAAAAACCCAAAACTTTGAAAACCACTCACTGAGATTAAATTACAATGAATGCAAGATAATACCATTTGAAGAACAACAGCAATCAGCTTATGTAACAACTCAAATACAGAAATCTACTATTTATCTGAGTAGCTTCTGATGTAACAAATACAAAATGCCAGACTTATTTCTTCCATATTGAAGAAATAAGACAGGAGAGCTCAGACTCCAAGGTGGGCCGGTTCCTGCTGTGGCTTCTGCAATATTCATCCCCTGGCAGCCCACAGAAGGGCAAAGGAGCTGGGGAAGGGTCTGGAATAGCTGAGGGAGCTGGGGGTCTCAGTCTGAAGGAAAGAAGGGTCAGGAATGACCTTCTCAGTCCCTACAACTCCCTGACARGAGGGTGGAGCCAGGTGGARTTGGGCTCTGCTCCCAGGGGAGTAMWCCACAARGAYRAGAGGAAAYKGCCTCCRGTTGCAGCAAGGGGAGGTTTRTACTAGACAGTAAGAAAAATWTCTCCACTGAAACAGTGGTCAGCACTGGAACAGKCTGCCATGAGAACTGATGGWTAYACCATCCCTGGAAGTGTTCAAAAACATGTGGATRTAGCACTTTYGGACATGGTTTAGCAATGAACACKGTGGTGCTGGGTTAATGGTGGGACTCAATGATCTTAAGGATCTTCTCCAGCCTAAACAATCCTATAATCAGTTCCCTATAATCAGAAAGGAAAAGCCAGCTGTGTTTTTCAACACCTGCCACCTTTGATAAGCAACAGTAAGAGAAGGCCACAAGAGTTCACCTTTTGCTCAGATACAAAACTTCCCTTTTACCAGACTTCATCTAACAATACTAAAGAAGAAATAAAACTTCTTACTGAAGAACATATTTAAACCCAGCTTTACAAAGGATTGCCGAGTTCTCCATGCAGGTCTTTACACCTCTCTCACCTGCACTGGAAAGTGCCAGTGTGCTGAAATGGAACAGCTGCCTTCCCCAGAGGRAGCCTGCCCCACAGCCCAGCCCATTCAGCTCGATGCAACCCTGCTCACCCATACTCACAAAGAATTTGTCAGTATATTGCATGAAAAGACTTATTTTATGAGACAATATGTGTCTTTGCAAGAGAAGCTGGGTTTTACGGCTTCACCTGTCAGCAACTCTTTCACTGCTACTAGACTGGGGAGGGGCACAAGGGAGGGGGAAAGGAGGGACAGACACCATRCCAGTATCTTTCATTGTTAGAATCGATTTGATCAGCTTTACTGAGCATTTAATTCAGAACATGGCAGAAAAGGCTCCTGCACTTAAGATTGTTTCCTGTTCGAAGAGCATCACCGAACACTTAACTGCAGAAAGCAATACCAGCTTTGAGAGCTATCTRCTATGGTACTCTTCATTCTTTAAAACTACATCGAGCAGCACAAGGGTTCTTAAGAAAGCACCAGCAAGTAATGGGATATAAAACATGTATGATCCTGGATGTGTACTGTCACATATAGGCTCTGTACAGTGAGTTTTATGCTTGAAAGCACAGTCTGACACAAGTAGAAAGAACAACAGATGACACAAAACTACAGCTTACAAYTGAGATTATTTTGTTACTTTCCCCCTTTCACGGAGAGCAGAAATAGAGTGCTACACGATGTGCAAAACCCCTACCAACCAATTAATAAAAGAGGACAAAGGAAAAGAAACAGGCACAAATGTAGTTCAAAATGTTAAATCCCCAGCAGCTCAGTACTCCTACCTGCTGTGTTGCATTGGCTGAGCCGCTCCATTTTGTAAAGACGCTGTGAGCTGACGTTAAAAACTCTGTATTTGCTGCTGTAACAGTGTGACAATGGCCTGCAGCATTCATAAATATTGGAAAAGCTTTTTTTACATAATTACCTTGTGAAGTCAGTCATCTCCATCATAATCACACACATCCTCTTGGCCAGAACAATTATGTCRTTGCTGGTATCGTCCCATATTTCAATCTCTGCATCAAGCTTACTCTTGACTTTTTTGAAGTCAGCCACTTGCTCAGCTATCTTTTCCTTTTCAGCCTCTGGCAGTTGAGTCATCTTGGCCTGAAACAGAATAATTTGATTTGYAAAACATCTATGTCAGAATATWTTTTTTYYTTTTKTAGCAAAACCCCTGCACATTAATAAATGTATCATTTAAACAGACTATGGCCTGAGCCAACTGTTCAAATCTGAGCACTTCTAAATTTCAAAATTTGTATGTTGTCACTGGATTGGGCCAAATAAATGATCCTCAGCATAAAGGGGATAGTGGTGTTCCTGAAGCCATTAACACAGTGAGAGAAAGAAGAAGAAATTCTTCCTAAGAGCCCTTATGAAATATAACTGACAATTTTTCCTRTTTCTTAGGATTAAGGAGCCTAAGTAGTTTTAAGTGTTACACATGAAAAAGTGACAAAACGCAGTATTGATTCATGTATGAAATAATCAATGAAAAGGCTTAATTGGCCTGAAACTCTCAGGTATGCTTGTTCTCTCTCCTGAGAACTGAAAAATAACTAATTGTTCATGATTTTAGGAACTGAAAAATAATTAATTGTTCAAGTATGCATCTTCTATCTTTGCAGAAGACAAACAGATGAACATGTCAGGAATCAGTATCCATGTAAGATTACCAAAACCTCCTGAAAATGCAGCACAGTGAGAGCAATGTTTTTACTTAATGTTCTTCTTCATGAGCAAGATGAGCAGCCTCCTGCAGAGCAGGGTCAGACACCCCTCCTGTGCCAGAAACAGGCCAGGAAGCAGCCAGGGACGATGATGTTAGTGGCCACATGGAAGTCCCAGCCCTTCACCAGATCTAGGCCAGGGACAGARGAGCCCCTGTTGTCCTGATGGCTGCTGCCATAGTGGTTCTTATCTCACACCTTCCCTCCAGGCCACCAGCAACTCACAACTACACACAGCATCATTGCTCTCCAATTAAACAATAAATATTAACAATATAAACTTACTCTTGTTTAGAAAACATCATCTACCACCAATAAAATGGAGAGTTATGGCAGTGGCTGGATTATTTATAATTAATAAAAAAGGTAATCAGTTTTAAACATAATGCATGTTTTTCAAGTCACACCTTTTCAGCGGTTTTATTTACACCAGAATTACTGTCACAAGGGTAATTTTCTCAATTACACAAATTACTGAAAATGACATGTTTCTCAGTACCCGTAATTGTAGTCACAGAATTACACAGAATCACAAAATGGTTCAGGGTGGTAGGATCCATCTCAGAGTGGCCAAGTCACCCTACAGTCACAGAATTAGAAAGTGCAACTATTTGGAGATTACTTCTAGGCTGTCAAAAAACCCTGAGGTGGGCTACAGAGGGATGAGAACTTCTATGATCTAATACATGTTTGCTGATGAGTGGATGTCTGTGGTATTTCCTAGCCCCAGCTTCAATCCTGTTTTGAGCTCAAGATCACAGGCCTGGATCYTGAAACCACAAGAAAGATGACATTTTAATGAGGGAACTGGGACATACAGCATCCTGCTACCTGCCAACAATAATGAGCTTCAGGTGCAATGAGACACATTATCCACTGGAACAAAAGAAACTGTAATTCTGACCTTTTCTCTTCCTCATACTGCTTTAAAACAATGTACAGAAACAAAACAAAGCAATTGTATACACAGCCTTTTAAGCACAGATTTAACTCTGTATCAGAATAGGCAACATAACATTAATTGTGAAATAAAGACCTAAACAGAATCACTATTACATGAACGCAGGTTTATTTTGTCCACCAGGAAAAGTTTTTGTTTTCATTACTTCTAAGACACAATGCTATTATTGCAGTAGCAGACAGAAGAGTTAGRACTAGGTTAGAGAAGAAGTTACATTCCTGGTATTTTCTTCTATTTAAAAATAGGTGCCAACCTTTTTTCCTTAAATTTCCCTGAAGTAACTTTTCAGGAGGCCGTTTGTCCCTGGTAGTTGGAGTCACCAACACCGGAGTTATGTTATTTGAATTGTCCTATTTGCAACCTGACTAATCCTATGAGACCAGTGTTTCCTTTCATCACCTTTCCATGTCTCAGTCAGCTCTCCATCAAAGAAACAGAACTTTTAATGCCATGTAAGGACACATGGGGAGTAATTATGTGATGAAGATGTAGATTCTTCTCTCCCTTTACACTGCTTGCCAATGACTCCCCAAAGAACTGGCCTTCTGCCTACCTTTGTCTCCAACTCCACTCCAAGGATTTGACTTTCAAATAAACTTTCCATTATGCTTTTTRAATCTCAGATGGACATACATTTTTTCTTTCCTGACCCGTAAAACCAAATGACCAGCCAGATCCACACCACCACCATTCTTACCACTTACAGGGACCAGGAAGGAAGGAAAGGCAACAGAAAGCAGCACAACACATTCAAGCAAAATCAAAGAATTTCCCTTGACAATTATTTAACACTTCATGCTTTGTAGGCTGCAATATGTCATATAACTACAGAGAAAAGAGGAAAACTCTGGTTTTCTGCAATTTTGTAGGTTACAAAAGTCACCAAAGTCACCACATCTGAGGGAGCCACAAGAAGCCCTTTCTGTTCCTGCTCTCCTACTGCAGTCTGATGATCATTTGGTTAAAGTCAATGGGACCCCTCCAAATCACTCCAAAAACAGCTATTTCAATCAAGCTCTTCCAAAACAGYTCCAATTATGACTTTTAACTGTTTTTTTCTTGAACAAACATTGCAGACTACATAAAATACACACATGTGAGCTCAGCTCTGAGCAATCTCACCTGGTGCATGGCATCCCTGCCGTAYCAGGGGGGTGGAACTGGATGATCTTTAAGGTCTCTTCCAAYCCAAACCATTCCAGGAGCCTGTGATTCTATTTTATCAGGAAAGCTTGGGACAGAACTATTCTACAGATGTGTTTTGAATGCCAGCATATTCCTAAGTGCATTCATGAAGACACCACCAAGTCCAAAGGAATTCTGTTAAAAAGACTACGGTATGTCCACTACCTTTTAGTACTACTTTTTCTATTGAGGGAATAACATTTTGAAGTTGGATAAAGAGGTCACAGAGAGAATGCTAGATATTCAGCAATTCCCAGCAAAGTGAACAGGGATCCCCAGAGATGAACTGTGTGGGTGTGTGATGCTGACAGCAGGGAGAAGCTGTGCTTCTTTTGATACTTTACTACCTGCTGTCACCAGCTGCCTTCTCCCACTTTGGAGAGCTGCAGCAAGCCTGCTGAAGTGCAGCACTCCTCAAACAAGTTCAGAGAGGGCCTCATTTGTGCTGCCGTGACAGTTCTGCTGTATTTTTAGATACAACGTAATTGGAACCGGATCAAGAGGTAAAACTATTGGGAGACAGCAAACTCTTTAATGCCATTTTCACATCAGCCTTCACTAAGAAGGTTGGCTTAGATAATGCAACKGTGGCATATTAAATATAATTTCTCTTTGTCCTGGGGCCATAGGCCTACAGACAAAAAAGCAAAATGTCTAAAATCTGGGCTTCACCAGAGCTTTGCTTCATGTCATCCTCATAAACAACCTGGGGCGGGTGTGATACCAGTTAGAAAACCGCTCACAGAGCACTTACTAAGAACACACAACAAAGCCAGGGATCCATCCGGAAAAGGTGTGCAGGGAGCTGCCCTGACCCCAGCATTAGTCAGGGCTTCCACASAACCAACTGCACACACCACACATTTGCAACTCAAAGGGAACTTGAAAAGTGATCTGCAAACATCACGGGGTRTATTGCAGCTGGGACAAGTACAGGGCTTCACCCGTAAGAAAAATCACCAGTGCACACACAGAACTGAGACAAAATCAGCCGTGGGCAGTTCCATGGGTGGGCATTCGTAGTTGATCAAAGGTTGTGCCCTTGGCAGAAAAGCAAACTTTATACAAAGCTCATTCTGAACTGTGCATACAGAAGGAAATCATGCAAACCTCACACTTGTGCTGTTGAGATCACAGGTGGCTTCACACATTTTGCAATATAAATAGTCTAGACACAAAACACAAGAATTCACTCAGCTGTAGAGCATCCAGAGGAGAGAAAGAGAGACTAAAAGGATATACAGAAAACACTACCTTGACAAATAAATTAAGGTTATTGGAGTTATTCAACCTGGAATTTCTGAAATAGAGATAAGATAGAAAAAGGATGTACAAGCACATTAAAAAAAAAAGTATATACAGAAAGGAATGCTTACATTCTGTGTCCACCGCAGATCAGTGCTAACATGTAAATTGCAACACATGAGGCATAATAATAAACCATCAATTCCAGTAATGAGCTAAGCAGAGAAAGCAATCCAATTGTTCATATATATGTGTGTCAAGAAGAAGTTCATTTATTCTACCTTGGGGCCAAATGGCTGGATTAGCCAAGTTCTTGGGGTTCTTTCCAGCTCTACTTTATAGGAGGACATAATATACTGCCACAACCTTGAGTCCTTCAGTAACTTAATCTCTTCCCTTTACAGAAATTGGGTTAAAAACTGGAAAGAAAATTAAATGCTTTTGATAGATCATGACTCCTGACAGAGAATCTTTTGCTATATATCAAGTGTCAAAATTACTATTCGTAGAACCTACTCAAAATTACAGTGGTTATTTTCATTAAACTTGAATTCTTATCATCAGTATTTCATGCTTGCTTAGGGCTTTGATAAAAATGAAACAAAATATTCTAAAATCACTTTTTTTTATTAACAAATTTGCACATGCTTCCCATTAATGTATGYCAGCATTTCATTTAATGTAGGATCTTAGATATAAAATATCTGCTACTTAATAAGAATAGCTAATTAACTTGATGGCAAAKGTAACTTCGCTTCTAACCAATTTCTAAGCTAGTACCAACAGTTCTTCTTGGTCTTTGCTGTTTTATCCAGCCTCTCTTGGAGTTTGGCAGATCTTTAGAGCATTACATTGATCGCTGTACTTAAAATGCAATATAAYAAAACAGTAAAACAAATACAAATAAAACTTTGCCTAGATTTTCTCATTCACAGAACACATTCAGTCAACTTTTTATCAGCCCAGAATCGTTGCACAAACACAGTGTGCAACGAAACCATATAAAAAATTACCTTAATCGCAGACATTTTTGTCAATGCATACACAAAACTGTCTGCAAAATTCTGAGGAAAAAAATGTGGGTATGTGGCTGCCTTAAAGAGTTCTGCTCTTGCCATCCCTAAGTGGATTATGTTATGAGGTCAAACATTTCACCTCTTCCTCAATATGATCGCCTTAACATGCAAGCAGAACCTTTGAAATTAAGCTAAGCTCTTCTTGTCACTAATTTGGTAACTTCAAACACTTATAAAGTATTTTTTTCCTGATCATCAACACGTACACTGTCTTTCTTCTAAGTCTGAACATGAACTGGGCAAATCTTATTTGCCCTTCTCTTCAACACAAAATCCTACGATAAGAAGCCCCTACCACRTTCAGTGGAATCACACTGATCAGGAGGGATCAATTGGTGTGATAAGCCTGCAGAGCTAATTACACTAATTAGACACAAACACTCAAGGAAGAGCTGACTTTGAGGTGGGAAAACTGCATTAGTCCTTGGATCCACAAGCACTACCCTGTTTTTATAGGAGTTAAGGATTTGATCTTAAGGATCTTCTTCCTCAAGGATATAAAATCACCCTATAAGTAATAATCAGTATTTTTATCCAGTTTAAATACCCAGAGATCCCATAACACATTGCCCAAGCTGACCCATATCCCCCAGCACGGGATGCTGCCACAGGCATTATCACATTCATCTCAGAAATGKGGAATTATCTGAGAGAAAAGATCAATGAAGTAACATTTTCAAGATGAGTCAGGAAGATAAATATGAGGTCAAATCTCAGTGCTACCATCTCACCACTAACCTCTCCTCTGTCTTTATGGAGATAGATTCTGAAGGTGTGATTAATAATACATGAYTTTTTCATACATAAGGGAGAACAGGATTTGCTAGTTAAGATGTAGCCTTTGTTACAAGTGGCATACACACATCACATCTGGTTTTATATGTTGTGATAAAAACAGAAAGAAAAAAGGCACCAGTTCCCYGCTGGAGCAGTGAGAGATGTGACATCAAAGAAATTACAACACTCTTGACAAAGCAAAATGACTCAGGAGTGCTGCTATGCAGAACACGTATGGAGCCAGATATGTATAAATAAAACTGAATTACTGTGCTTGCAATGCCCAAGAGAAAAAACTCAAGGAGGAAAAAAGGTTGTTCTGTAATCCTGCCAAAGCACCTCTGGAACACAGTCATTCCTGGTGTCAACACTGCACACAACAGCCTCCCAACAGCACACAAACCTGCTGCACCACATAAACCCACACACTGCCTAAACCCTAAAATCTGTCTTCCCTACACGGATTCCTCATATTCCTAAACAGGTTCTGAGTAGAAATCTTCAAATGTCAGTATCAAATAGCACTCCAAACAAAGAGGCCTTAAATGACCATTCTTGTTTGCTGGTGCAACAAACAAATTAGTTAAAACTTCTTTTTAAAAGACGTATGTACAGGTGTCTGTCAATATGTGACTTTAGGCTGAATGCATACATATATAATTTAGTCAAAGCTATAATTTTCTATTGTTTTTGAGGGTAATGTGCCATTTATGGCCCTGACAGCAGGACCTGAAATCTAGGAAAACTGTTTCTATATTGTAGAATCGGGCTTTAAGCCACGACCTCTATCTACATCCCACAAAAAGGAACCTTTGGAGTAACTGTAATTATTTTACAAAGAAATGAAGAAAAACAAGGAATGTACATATTCTGATACTGAAGTACTGGGACTTTTAGCTGTATTAACCATAGTCTATGTGTAACAGTCCCTTCCACCTCACAAGAAGGAGAAGCACATCCCAGAGATGTCTCCCCACAGCACCAACCAGTGCCTCTGATTGCTGACAGCCAGCTCCCAACCTAGCACTGTCTTCAGCATCACCTCTTGCTTTGTGCACTCTGAAGTATGTGTTACTTACAGTTTTCTTTTCAAAGAAAAGCATCCCTTAGAGAAGAACTCTTGTTTAGCTGAGAACTAGAAGATCATGCATGAAAATGYGATCTTTTAAAGCTTTAGTGCCTTTTTGGACTAGGTTTTGATAGTACTTATCTACCAAACACTACTTCTGTTTTGCCAGTAAGAAAACTCCAGCTGTGAAGTGACTCCATAGGAACAGGAACACAGCAGCATTTCCCCTCAGCCCAAAGCTTTCCCCATGCCCTGGGCTAACACATACCCGGTCAGTCTTCCCTTCGGTCTGAACGCTTGTACGACTGCGCGCATCGTGTTCTTCCTCGAGGTCAGACACATCTTCCAGCTCCTCGGGTGTCTGGGGAAAATGCACACAAGGGTTATTCCCTGTCACAGTTGGTAACCCGGCCACTCATGTCAAACACACTGTATTTGGTACGAGATAATGTCTGACAAACACCAGCCAGTCCTGTTCTAGCAGTTACTAAACTGGGCGTTTAAATTGGTGTTRCTGCCGCCAGCAACGGTGTCTAACAAGAAACCTTTACATAAGAATGGATTTTGAAAGTGTCACCAGTTCTATTAAATAGCACAAGTATCAGCACTACCAGAAAAAAATAAGTGTCCCTAGTTTGCTATTTTTATACATGGCATTATTAAATGTGCCATTGTCCACCCCTCCTAGTCACATCAAGTACCATTTGATTCTSTGATTTTGTTTCATTTACAACAAGAAATTTTCTATATGATCCAGGTCYTCAGATTTTTACTTACTACTTCCCTTTTAACAAAATATTATTAAAAGAAAATGGATTTCATGCATAAGTTCTGAATTTTGTCATAAATACAGTAAAAAAAAGCACAATGAACATAGCTTTACAAATGAGACGAAATAAAAAATTAAAAGCCAGTATACTTCTATCAGCAGAACACTGCGCAATGAAGCACACAAAATTTTTGATATTATGAACCACTTAAAAAATAATGTTGGTTCTGCCAATGCAATAGGGCACTCAAGAAATTTTCCTTTCTATCAGGTAAATTCTAATTTTTATGAAGCAAAAATATATAGAACCAGGCTSTACAAAGCTGATGACAGATCTACTATCACCATGACATCTAGAGTTCCAATTAGAGTGAATCCTGATGTTCTGAGTCCCTCGAAAGCCTGACATTCCAAGAGAAACATGACAAGACCAGGACTATCAGATAGGCAGCAAGAGCCACCATCATTACTTTCACCCAACTTTCAATCAAGTCAAATAGAATGTTTCTAATCCAGAACTGCTGTATGTTCTCACCTTCATGTTTTTACTGTCAAAGAATATACACAGAAGATGTGCTAAGAAGGACACTGCAGGGCTCTGTCATTTTATTTCTGGGTCCACAGCATTGATGCCTTAGGATTTTTAGTTTCTATATTTTCATGTGTYTGTATTCTTGTAKTTCTCTAGTASAGCACTAAAACTACCATTCTCCCATCTTTAGACAAAACAATCCCTCTTTGAGCCTGGATCCAAGGACACCTCAGAGCCCCAAAATATGGAAACAACAGTGAGTTAGGGAGGGGGCAGGGGGGCAGAGMAAGTTTGGAAGATCATTGGAGAATTAAGGCCCAAGATGTTAATAAGGCAGAACTTASAAAAGGTGAAGATCTYATAACTCGGTGTCCATTTTGGGTGTAGCCTCAGGAGGAGGYTTTGTCTGCCCTAATGTACCATTAGGCCCRTATTAAAGCTGTCTATTCTCATTCTTTTAAGTTTGTCTRGCCTCTRTTTCAGATTAGCCTGATTGAGAAGGCATCAGCCTGGTAATGCCACTGCATTAACCTGAACAAATCCACCTGCATGCCTTGGTGTCCCTTGGGAAAGAACCTCTGTGGTCAGAGGGTGCTATCTAAACCACAGAGTTCAACACCAGCCTTGAAACAAGGCTCAAACASCACTCCATTCCTTCAGCAGCACACAGGCAATTTCACTCACTGAAGAAAATCATAGTTTCTATGAGATAACAATGCAAGAAATAACTCAATGTTAGTGCACAATTCAGCAGAAATAGAACGCCGGGTGTGATAAATACACCTAAACTTCCTCATGGAAACAGGCAATCAATTTTGGGGACAAAGATAAGCACAGTGCTATACTGCCCAAATGGGGAAAGGGAACACCTTATTTTCAGGCAAACACTAACACTGTGATGAAGTCTCAGTTTTAATACTGGAATTAAACCCAGTAAGAATTCCACAGTAGCCAAAGGCTGTTACTGTAAAAAAGTTGTTGGGAAAGATGCAGTGTGAAAGCAAAATGAGATTTCAGTGGTGGCRGATACCCCTGCACTAAAATAAACTATCAGAAACTCACTTCAATTGAAACACTTAGGGATACTCTTTATTAGAGGACCAATAACAGAAAGAATATTAAAACAGAGGAACTTCAGCTTCTCAGGATTACACTGACTCCCTCAGGTGGTAAGGGCCTCAATTAAGTTCACAGAAAAAAGAAATTGTTTCCCTTTAAACTATACATGGATTATTAATAAAATTTTTAAAACCAAATTGCAATTCATAGGTTTTTATAAAATTAGTTTAGAATTTTTTCCACCAGTGACCATAAAGTTGAATTCACAGCAGCAGAGCACCATTTTGTGAAATAGTGCTTGGGAATCCACTATTTCCCATAAAGGGTTTCTTCATTCTATAAAACATGGGACTGAAAATGTTGTGACAAGGCAGAACAGTTAATAACTTTAAGACAGTCACGTAATACATAGGTGAATTTTAGGGAATGTGTTTAAGAGCTTTATACCATTATGATTCCACAACAAACTGCATATACTTACAAACTGGTTATTTTAGGGCCATCAAGAGAATTTTGTAGAATTCCACTGACGCTATTTTTCTGTGAAGTCAAGCTAYGCAAATATTACCAGCCTCAATATGGAACCTTTAGCAAGCAAAGAGATCAGCAAAAGGACAGKAGGATAAGACACCTCTCCATGGCAGTCTCAGGTAAGCTTTCCAAAGATTAATTCATYTGATCTGGCACTTTATGAACTGCATATCATAAAACAAAGATCTCTTTCCAGCTGCATGGATTGTAGGGATTGATTCCCTCTCCAATTCYTTATCATCGGCAAAACACAGACTCAGGGTCTAAATGTTGCTCACCCGAACCCTCATGGGCTAAATGTTGTCAGAATAGTTTTTGGTTTTAAATTGCTTGTGCCGTTTTCAGGTTAGTAAAATCTATTTGTGGCTGGGATGAGCAGTTTCCTGCAGAAAGCCCACTTTCCYAGCCAGACAAGTACACTCCCATCARGCTCTTCCCAAGTYATTCTCTCCAAAGCCAGATCTGCYGTATTKTGAATTGCTGGTGCCRCAGAACTCAGAAAAACAAAACAAACCCATCCAGTTATTAAACACCAAGGACAACGTTTCAAGCAAAGAGAAGCTGTTGATTTACCAAACCTTAAATCACAAGCCGTGTACACTACAGTCACTTTCAGACACAATAGCAAAAACTGAAAACACTCCCCACCATATTAATGAGAACAAAAGAGCTAGTTAGTCCATTTTTTTCTCTCCTTAGAAGTTGTTTTATGTAATTCAACCCAAAATCTGTGATTTTCTTCATGTTGCTCTCCTAAACCACTATCTATTAAATACCTGAGAAATCTATGTGTCTGCTTCCATGAATATTCCATGTGCCAAGACATGAGCGTTCAAAAAGCAATGTCTGATGAGTGCATGGTTAAACTGATATGAACATGAGGGACTGCAACACAAAATAGCGTGTTATCATCAATAAACAGAAATCTTACCCAGGGAGAACAGCACAGCTGGAGGATGGGAGTGAGAAGCATGAAAGGAAGCTGAGAGTATGAAGACTCACAACAGGAGTCTTACCAATTGCATGGGATGGAAGAGGAAGAGATTTGGGTACTGTAGTCGGTGACAKGATGAATACAAGACACAAATGGAAAATTCACTGTAAGACACACGAAGTATGGAATTTGCAGTAAATGTAAGGAAGAATGCTGAGAGGCAAAATGAAGCCCTGCAGAAGACTCCAGTCAGCAACAACCTGCAGACTCATGTGTAACACAGTGGTAAACAGAGTTTGGAAACAAATTTCAACAGAAAAAATTTAAAAGGCTTCCAGCAGCCACAGGAGCAGAACTCATGAATAGTTTCCCCTAAAAGTGCTGGAGGAGAGAAATTCATTCCTAGGTGAAGCCTGAGCCTACACTGCAAACAAGGTGATGGAGCAGCTGGCAGCAAGAGGGAGGCACAAGGGGGAGCAGGACACTGCCCCAGCCCCCCAGCTCAGGACTCCCATTCAGCTCCTTTGTGAAGAGCCTTTGTTGATCCTGACAAAAATGCATTCAAGTATATTCCTGCACATCCATTCTAGGCTGTAATTCCATTACTGTGGCTGASAARCTACACAAGTAGCATGCACTCCTTYCCACATTTCAACAGTTGTAATGAATCTGCATTCTCCGTGGGTTTGTTACTGAAGACACAGGCTGAGGATTGCAGCTCTACTAACAGCAAAGCCTAATATTGAAGAATTTGACACTTTCCTGGTACTCAACTTCACCCTCAATAGCCAGTCATTACTATTGCACCCGGGTGATTTCAGGATATGTATTAGCTTTTTATCATGAAATGAAAACCACTCTCTGATGATAAACTTCTTCATTTGCTTTTCTACAAGGAYTTTRAAGAGAATAATTAATAAAACYAAGGTCTRGCCCTAGTCTTTAGATGTCTGCCAGTTTTTCTAAASTGGTTGCAAACGAGCTTTTTGGCTTATCTGGCGTTTAATCCATGCTTTGTAGAACAATTTGTTTGTCTATGTTTCACAGCATCTTCTCCATCACTAAGTTTTTTTAGCAAATCCTCCTTAAAAGTGATTATCCAAAGAACTTTATCATTTGCTTTTAAAGGTCACATAGAACCCACAGAACCATCAATTGTGCAAATAAAGCTACAACATATGCAGAGGCAGATCTAAAATCTCAAGATATACAATGTAAATGGACAAACAGGCATCTTGGTGTGAAAGGAAGTTATCTCCTCTTCCCTACCATTCAATTAAATGCTGACCTTTAGACTGTCATGATATGTTATAATGCTTTATCTTATCTTGGTTTCAACAACCCCATCAGTCATTCTTGCTCACAGATCAATACAAAAATGCAGAGCAGACTAGCACCCAAACAGGAGCTCAGCTGATGAGTGATGTCTTCATTTTACTGCTGCAAATGCAGCTCTTTGTGCTATGTAAATCCCACAGCAGCAACAGAAATGCTTCCATGCACTCCAGGAAGATCAGAGTTTGTCTATTATGGCCT